GATCGATACATGTGTACCTAGGGGTGTTCAAAATGTCCAAAAGAACCAAATCGATTCATAACCAAACTGCTCCACATTTTAAAAACCGGTTATTTTTAAAAACCGATTTCATATGAAACTGCATTTTATTTTATAAATTGGTTATTTACCAAACCATAAAATAATTGGTTATCCATAACCAAACTATTTTACAATTAAAGAACAAATAAATATTATCTTTTATCCTAAACATTAAAATGTGAAAATTACATAAATATGAATCATTTTTAAATGTGACATTATTAGAAAAGTCTCAAATACTAACAAAATTTATCGAAGAAAAATATTTCGTCGAAAATTTTGACAAAAATCATATTACGTAAAAAATAGAGACGAAATTTTTTTTCGTCGAAACTATATACGAAACAAGATTTTTTCATAATCACTGACATAAATTTTTGAGGGACAAAATATTTCAGCCAAAATTCTTCATAGAATCTAAATTTCGTCGAAACTTTCGACAGAAACAATTCTGTCGAACTTTTCAACGAAAAATAATTCTGTAAATTTTTTTGACGAAACACATTTTCATAAAAGAAATTGACAGAAAATAATTTCGTCAAATATTTTTACGGAAAATATTTCCGTCCAAATTTTCTACGAAAAATATTTCCAACAAAATTTCCAACAAAACACATTTACAACGAAAATTTTGACCAAAAATATTTACGTAAAAATTTTTGACGAAAAATATTTCCAAATTTTTTTTTGATGGAAAATATTTTTATAAAAAATTCCAACGGAAATTGTTTTTGTCAAAGTTCTTTACGGAATCTAAATTCTCTCCAATCATTTCCCTCAAATTTTTTGACGAAAAATATTTTTATAAAACATTTTGACGAAAAATATTTTGTCAACAAATTTTATCGAAATATTATTCGTCATAAAATTTTTACGAAAACTTTTCATAGAAATGTGTTCCATTGAAAATTTTGATGTAAATATTTTTTATCAAAAAATTTGACGGAAATATTTTTGTCAAAAAGTTTAACGAAAATGGTTCCGTCGAAAACTTTCGACGGAATTTGAATTCCGTAAAGAATTTTGATGAAATTTTTTTCCGTCAAAAGTTTTCGAAGGAAATGTGTTTCGTGGAAAATTTTGATAGAAATATTTTTTGGTCAAAAATTTTGATGAATATGTTTTTGTGTAAAATAATTTGAGGGAAATGTTTTAACAAAATTTATATTCCGTAAAAAATTCAAAAAAAAAATTTCGTTAACTTTTTTTACAGATATGTTTTTAGTCACAAATTTTGATGGAAATATTTTTCGTCAAAAATTTTTGTGAAAAATTTTGATGGAAATGTTTTCCGTAAAAACAACGTGAACAATTTCGATAAAAATCATTTCGTCCTAAGAGTTCCAAAACAGTGAAGATTCTTGCAAGAAATAGTTGGTCAAATACCTATAACAGGAAGAAACAAACTACTACTTATCAAAATAGCACAATCCATCAAAATCGATTTTGAATTTGTTAAAAAACCAGTTTTGAACTTGATAACCGGTTTATGGTTCATAACTGATTTTGAATTAAAACCGATTTAAATCGATTTTAATTCAAAATCGGTTATAAACCCCAAACCGGTTTTAAAATCGATTTTAAACCGGTTTGGACAAATTAAAAATCAATTGTTTAAAAAAAAATTAGTTCGATTTAAAATCCAAACCGTTTAAAATTAGTTTGGTTTGATTTTTGACAATAACCGAACTGAACCGCTCCATGCACGCACACCCCTATGTGTACCACATCACTACAACTAGTATTTTAAAGTGTCCTTGATTCCTTCCTTGATGACAACCCCGTCTCTCTCTTTTTTTTTTTTTTTTTTTTATAATAACAACCCCGTCTCTCTTTGATTTAGCATAACTGTAATTTCCTTTTTCTTTTTTCAATGATGGGTAAATTGTGAACTATAGTCACGTTTCCATTCAAAATGCAAAGAATTTATGAATATGGTTTACGACTTTCCAAGAGGTGAAAGGACATTCACAATCTTACGGTAAACTTCATCCACTTAAATAATTAATATATTCAAATTCAACTATGGCTGCTATTTAGAAAAAGAAAAAAGAAAAGAAGAAGAAGAAGAAATTCAAACAGTCAGCTAACCAGTGGTCAGTTGATATTCATCTGTCTAAATCGACTACAAATTATACCTACCTCATACGTGATTAATGCATTGCATGTGTCGCTTCACAGATTAATCCTGGTTATTAAACAACTCAAGGAAGAAGATTCTAGGAACTTCTAACTACAGTTACCAGGATGATTATATCAATTATGACACTTGTTTTAATCTAGATTTATAGTTAATATTTTACTTAATAGCAAGCTCAACAATTTTGTATCTGGCGCCTAAACAATACTTGGCAGATTTGGTCATCAGTTCTTACCAGCCAATTAAAGAAATTTATTTGGGAGCTACGTTTCTCCAACTTCCTTTTCCATCAAGAAGCAAGTTTGAATTTTTTTTTTTTTTTTGGTAACAACAAGTTTGAATTTTTGCTTATCTTATAAACTATAAAGCGACTGGCTTACTATTCAGAGTTATAATTAATGATTCTGAATTCAATAACTAAAATTATTATAAAATACATGCATATATTATAAAGAATTAATTCAACCCAAAAATTTAAGTTATTGAGTGATACTACAATAATGCTTTTTATATATTTCTAGCATGTTCTTTCACACGAGAGTCTATTGGGTTTGAAGGATGGATAATGCATCAGGCTCAATCTACCTGTACTAATAAATTGCATAATATTTAATTATTTTTTATTAATAAAATGGAAGCAGTGAGGAGTAAACTTATATATGATCACTTAATTGATAACGTCGACTTTAATACTATATAAAGAATCAATTTAACTCAAAAATTTAATTTATTGGTGAGACTACGTTAATAAATTTTATATTTCTCCAACATATATAATCAATTATGAAATCGAAGATAATGCTGAGGCATCTCAAAGTCAATCTCTTCGAAGTTAGTAATATTTTCCCCGCAGAATACTGAAACTCCGTGCATGGGAAGGCAATCGAGAAGACCAAGGAGAACTTGTTGCTTATGCTTATCAAAAGGACAAGGTTTCTTAGGGGTCGCTTGATTTCATGTTTTTTGAGATTTTCCTAAGTAAATGAAGTTTGGTTTTTAGAAAACTAATGTTTGGTTCAACAACTTTTGACCAAAACTCATCTATGTGAAATGCATGACTTTTTGAGAAAGATAGTAATTTGCATGGTTTAGAAACCCGATTTGAGGGTGGTTTTTTGAGAAAACCCGGGTAAAACACTGTTGACACACTTTTTGTCATATATTTCCCTGGTAAAATTTTGTCAAACCAAACTACTTTTTTTTAATTTCCCCATCTATTCAACTTTCCCTATAGATACCTAATAATTACATTTCTCTAGTATTCTTAAAATTTATCTTCAACCAAACGCCTCCAATGCCATCCTTAAACCTTTATTCGAGGAAATTCAATACCTTCAACAAATTCTTTTAAGCAACACGAAACATATTCTCTTTAAAGTGAGAGAACTTGAAAAGATTCCTTTAATTTAATTTAAGTACGTGAATGAATTGATACGGGATTGTCAAACTTCATTAATATTTTTGAGTTCGAGTTTTAAATATACAATTATGTTATAAATAGAGTTTTGTCACCTTGTCGACTTGAAGAACTATATATATATATATATATATATATATATATATATATATATATGGAAATAATCTGTTTATAAATTTTTACAAATTATACTATGTACTTCCCCGGAAAATACATAGTGTAACCTAGTGTATTCCCGAGAGTACAAAATTTTTGTTTATAAACTATATTATATACTCCCGGAAGTACACTAGGTTATACTATGTACTTTCGAGAATACTAGTGTAATTTGTAAAAATTTGTAAATTGATCTTTCTTTTATATATATATATATATATATACAGAAAAATATTTCTGCAGTTAATGCAGATGAGTTATCTGCATTTACTTCCAAAACGACGTCATTTTGGGATTGAAAGATTAGAAAATTATAATTATAAAAATTATAATAACTCTGAAATAAACTAAAATTATAAAAACACCATGATTTCCGCCCAAAACGACGTCGTATTGGACTTACTGCAAATAAACTTATCTGCAGTAACTGCAGAAAAAGCGAATCAATATATATATATATATATATATATATATATATATATATATATAAATAATTGGGACAAGATGCAAGAGATATCAACCATAAATAATGTCAATTCAAACTAAAACGGGGGCAAACAGACAGAAAGTCTACTTTAAAACGAAGAAAAGTGCGACTTTAGTGAAGTGTGAAACCCCCGTCAATATGAGTAGTAATTAATTATTAAAGTTATATGAATGTTCATGCATGCTTGTGTGTGGAACGTGCATAATTGAAGCAAGGGAAAGAGATCGACGTAGCGTCATTAGCAAGTCTATATACTCCCTCCCCCCACACCCCAAAAACTGAGTCATGGTCTCTATGATGCGGCATTCCACTGCATGAGATTCATAAATCAGACACGAACATTACCTAATTAATATTTCAGTACTGAAAGCATCAATAAGGAATTTGAATTTTGAGTTCTAATCTTTGGGCATGTTGTGACATCTCCTGGTTGAAAATTTGATGCAAACATAAATTAAGTTGTAACAACCTGATCATGTCACTGGCCCGAAGCCATCACATGTAGGACGGCTTGGGAAAATAGGAAAGTTCATGGCCTAATATTATATGCACAGAGACTAGACAGAGTATATTATAGAGTACAAATAAAGCTCTAACAGCCAGTCACACAACCTGGCCTTTATTTCTATTTCTTAGACGGCACATTGCTAGATACGATCATGAAACACAGACTTTATTCTTCTAATTACATGAAACATGATTCCCCACAGTGAGCTTGATATCAATGGAAACTGTCAGGCTCAGGCATGCAGTGATGGATCATAAACAGTGGGAATCAAACACAACTGACTTTTCCTTTCAATTGCCACGCCGAAGCTTTCTGTCATATCCAAATCCTCAGACTTCACCCCATTTGGGAGTTCCCAGTTGAAGTGATAAAGCAATAGAGCCAGAGGAAGCACAAGGGTGGCTAAACCAAATGACATGCCTGGACACATTCTCCTCCCTGCCCCAAATGGAATGAACTCAAAGTTATTCCCTTTGAAATCAATGGAACTGCCATCAAACCTCTCTGGAGTAAAACTCTCAGCATCAGACCAATATTGGGGATCTCTTCCAATAGCCCATACGTTTACCATCACTTTAGTCTTGATAGGTATGTCATAACCATCGATGATGGTTACTTCAGAGCATTCTCTAGGAAGCAACAAAGGAGTAGGTGCGTGTAGCCTCAATGTCTCTTTAACCACCAATTTTAAGTAACTAAGTTCCTCTAGATCAGTTTCATGAATTATTTCCTTTCCCTTAAACGCTTGTCTTAACTCAGATTGTGCCTTCTCCCTTACTCTTGGGTTTCTTATCATTTCTAACATAGCCCAATCTAGGGTCGCCGCTGAAGTATCAGTTCCAGCAATAAATACATCCTGGACAAAGAATTCAAATATTTTAATTTAGTTTTTGGTACAATAAAAATGGGGAATGCATTGGTGCTATTAAAGGAAAAATAAATTTTTCCTGCACAGACAACATTTTGAGAGAGAAAAAAAAATATAAGGAGAGAGAAAATATAATGCATGGGCCTTACAAAAAGTTGTCTCCGCAGGAATTTTTTTTTTTCGTGTAGCAATACTGATGGATTATCCAATAAAAATATAATGAATTGTTTCTCAAAGAAAGAAAGAAGCAGTGAGTAACATAGTGAGTCCATTCAGCAAGTGAAAACTCCCTACAAAATCTAAAATATAGGGACCATGTTTTTAATGAATAATTAGGTTATATAGGGTTATTGTATCCTCAATTCTATTTAGAATCAGCTCCTGTAGTACCAGTTTCAAACTTTGTTTAATCGTTAAAAATAATTTTTTTAACTAGAATTGTTTTAATGATCAATGGTAGGCTGGTAGCTCACGCTATTTGATATTCGCAAACTTTAAAAAGAAGTAGCTCTATGAATGGTTTTTTTTTTTTGGGTAAATTATGAATGGTTTAAATATTGTAATCAAAAAGCCAATAAAACTGGCTTAATGCTATATTTTTTATAAGGTGTCATTTGTTCAAGTTTTCATTTCGTCATTGTATAAATAAAGTTATCAAAATAAAAGTTCTCAATATATGTAATAATATTTAGCTGTTTGTTATTACTTATTAGTAAGCATTACAAGGTGTTAAAAATGAAAAATTCTCGCATTAACCAGATATACTCAATTTGGTTGCATTAGTCTAATAAAGTATTGACACATTATTAATAATTAATTATCACAGTTAAATAAAAGATAACTACTATAATTAATAATGAGGACCCGAAAAAGGATTTATACATGTAGCGTATTGAATTAGATTTTTAAAAAGTATGAGTTTTGCGGCATATACTTACCATAATCACTGCTTTGATGTTTCGGGTCGTCATTTTGATTCCGAGGCTGTCACTTTGTTGGATTCTCAAAAGAACATCAACAAGATCTTCCTCATCTGCTTCAACCTTGCCTTCTAGGACTCTCATGTGCTTTTCTTGGTGCTCTGTGACAATGTTTTGTAAGATTTTGTCAAGCCGCTTGTGCAACTTCTCCAACTTGGGCCTTATCCCAGTTATGAAATGTATAGGTTTCATAGAAGGAAACAAATCAGCCAGGTCAAATCCTCCAGCGTGTACCAATACATCTTTCATCAAAGATATAAATTCATCCTGGTCCTTGGTTTTGTTACCAAATGCTGCCCTGCAAACAGAAGAACTTACCAAGGAGAAAATCCTACTAGTAAGGTTAATTGGTGAACCTGCGGATGTCTCAATTGATTCTATGAATTTTGCTGTTTCATGTTCTCTAACAAAAGAGAAAGACTTAACCTTCTTGGAACTTAGAAGCTCTAACACACATATTTTCCTCATTTGTCTCCAATAATCACCATATGGAGCAAAAGCAATATCTGTTGATTCATATGCCAAAATTTTAGCAGGAAGAAGTTGGGGCCTCTGCGAAAAAGCAACATCATGGGTTTTCATAATCTCCTTGGCCAACCTTGGAGAGGATACAACAAGTACAGGAATTTCACCAAGTTGGAGTTGCATGAGAGGTCCATATTTGTGGGCAAGTTCTCGGAAAGCACGATGTGGAAGTGACCCTGCTAGTTGGTGCAGGTTCCCAATGAGAGGTAACTTCCTCGGGCCCGGTGGCAGTTTGTGAACGAGACTGGATTTTGGCTTGTAATATTTTGCAAGCCAATGCAACAGCAAGAACAGAAAGAAGGTAATAACCAAGAAGGACGGTTCAATTTCCATGGCTTTAAGGCTGAACTCAACTCTTAAGTGTTTATATTGTTTGCTGGGTTGCTGGTTCTTATTTATAGAATATTGAATCAACGAGGACAAGAATATATAGAGGAAGAATCAAGTTATTCAGTGTAACATTCATTTTTAAGTAGTTGATATTACTTACCTCTATAATTTATTAATTACTTGAGTTTTTAAATATAATTATAATTAATGGTCAAAATTAAATGTAAAATTTATTATTTTTACGCGCGTGTAAATTCGTCCTCCCGTTCCCGTATATATATTTCGGTGTAGATCCATTCCCTATTTTTAGTAGTTTTTTCAGTCAGAAGATATAACATATATACTTTTAATTATCTGCATAGAAGATAATATTTAATTACACCATGTACATTTAAATATTTTAACTTTTTGATAAAGTTATATAAAGCTTGCACTATACATATTTTAATATCTGGGCTGCTTATGTACTCAGGATAAGAATGTACCCAACCTTTTCTTTTAATCCGAGAATCGGTGTGAGGAAGTTACCTTTCACGTCAGAGTTAAGTTGAGTGAAATCAGTCAGAAAACCAAAATTCTCCCTATATCTACTTTTTTTTCTCTCTCACAAAACTTGAAAACAAAACTTCAACCAAAGACTTTGTTTAAGGAAAACTGAGTTTCTTACCACTCTAACCATGCATCAACTGTTTATTCAACCTTTAAAATTAGATTATATACACATCCTATAGTTTAAAAGTCGTCGAATTTTGTATTGCCTATTGAGTTCAATTTTGATTATCTGGAACTCCTTTATATCATCCGGCATATGTTAAAAAATAAATAAATAAGCTACTAGGGCTAATATATAAATATATTCTAAAATTAATGAATTAGATAAAAATGATAATTTAGGGCTTTTTTTTTTGGACTGAGATTTAGGGCTTTTTTTTTAACTGAGATTTAGGGCTAAAATAGAGAACTCTCAAACTGGAATAATTTTATTGAAAATTCATGATACGTTAACTAATATGGCTCAAAATTAAAAAATTAAATAATATGTCCCGTAAAGAATTTAGTAATATATCACATTCTATATACCAGCACAAAATTGATAAAACATAGTTTGAAAATTCTTAATGAATAATGTTATATCATTTTAAAAGTCACAATTTTGATATTTCTCTGTTAATTCACATTCTGTTTTAATGATATTTATATTTTAAAATACTTTAATCAAATAAAATTTTAGTTTATCTGTAATCTATCTGTAATATATACTATAATTTTTCCACTAAATTATTGCATGACATTTTTTTAATTCTCAATTTTTTTTTTATTTTTATAATAGTCATTTTGTTTTCTTTATTGAATTTTTATCCCTCCCTTTTGTGCCTTTTGTGGATTTTTATAATATTTTAATAAATAAATTAAAAAAAATACAATTAAAGTGTATTAATTTTTAATTTGATGGTTTAGGAAAAAAACGAAGAGAGAAAAACAGCTAAATGCGTAAATGGTGTGATCTCTGTGAAAAATATCTGTACATGTAATACTCTTCATATAATGATGTGTTACACAATAATAAAAGAGTTAGATTTCCTATATATATATATATATAGTACTAGGGATTCTGGTAAATAATTTGATATTACATAAATGAATAAAACTCCTAGTAAATGTTAGGTAGGGGTGACAATGTGTGTGGAGGTCATGTTCATATTGTATTGAAATTTAACATAAATACAAATACACTTAATTCGAATATGATACGAATAAAGATTTATGTAAAAAAATTTAATATGAAGATTACTTGCTTATTTTATCAGTTGAAACAATATGATATGGATAATCCATCAACCTCGAATTTATGTATTTTTGAAAGTGACACAACACTATATGAATAACCCATCGTTAACAACATAATTAACCACAAAAATACAGGTTAATTTTGTGTTTGCTGGTTAACACATAACACGACAAATGAGGGTCAACTCAAACATAAAATTTCATATTTTGTTTGTGTCGTATGTCATGTCAGTGAATCGTGTAGAGAATTATTACTTTTAATTTCAATATATTTTTAAACACTATTGTCAATTTTTTTAAATTTTTTTCTTAATTTTTTTGACACCTTCTATTAGAAGGAGAGACTTTCATAGTTTACTATAATAAAATTTAATTTTTTTTTTGAATTGTTTTTCTTCATGTTTCCTGAAGGCGGTAGGATGTGACTTTTCAGTTCTATTTTGAAAAAACAACAGTGAAAAAAAAATAGTGCAGGCACTTCTAAGTTTTAACTTGAAGACCCCTGATCAGTAATGGTTAAAAAAAACTGCATTGCAAAACAGTTTATGAAGTGTAGAGAATTATTACTTTTAATTTCAATATTTATTTTTAAACACTATTGTCAATTTTTTTAAATTTTTTTCTTAATTTTTTTGACACCTTCTATTAGAAGGAGAGACTTTCATAGTTTACTATAATAAAATTTAAAAAAAAAAGATTGAATTGTTTTTCTTCATGTTTCCTCAAGGCAGTAGGATGTGACTTTTCAGAAAAACAACAGTGAAAAAAATAGTCCAGGCACTTCTAAGTTTTAACTTGAAGACCCCTAATCAGTAATGGTTAAAAAAAAATTGCATTGCAAAACAGTTTATGAAAAAGGAACTTACTACAAACTTAGAAAACTTTTTTTAGAATTTTTACTAAAACGAATTGTCTTTGTTATATTTATCTGAAAGATAAATGGTTCCAACCAAGATAGTTAAAGTCGAGTTTTTACTTAAAAAACGAAAGGTGAATAAAAAATTATAAAACATAAAATTATAATAAAAAATCATAAAAAATAAAATAAAAGTGATTGAAATGTTGATGAAAAGGTTTTGATGAAAAAAATCATAAAAATGTAAAAGTGCAATTTTAAAACTAGTTTTTAACTACCCTTATTCCATCGCTTTAACTTACTCAAAAATCGAGAATTTTTTGCATAAGCATGATGTGTAAGAACCCGCACCGTTAATTAAGGAATTTAATTAATTAATTATGCAAAAATAGGAAATGATTCCATAATTGACCCTAATAATTATTATAAGGCTTATATAATTATAGTAAGTGATTAAGAATGCTGAAAGTCGCTTTTCGGAGGAAAAATGCAGATACTGGTTCTGCTAGTCGGTATAAATGCGTACCGAAAAAGTATCCCGGAAAATTATGAAAAGTGCATGATAATTACTAGAATATTATATAGGACTTGTAAAACGAGTTTGAAGTTAATATAATGAGAATTGGTGCCAGAAACTGATACTGGCTATGAAAAGCGCGTACCGGAAAGGTGCTCGGAAAAATATAATAAAAATATGATTATTCTTGAAAAAATGAGTAGATTCAGATTCCAAAGTTTGGGATTAAAATGCTAAGCGTAGCTATTTTTGCTAATACTGTGTTATTATTTTTAGCGAGCTATAAATACTCACTTTGCACAAAACCCTAGGCCATAATTGGCTGCTACGTGAGTTGTTTTCTGAGCTCTTCTTCAGCCTTGTGTTTTCCTTGTGTCACCTTCACTCCCTACCCTCTTGTGAGCCTAAGGTGCCACCTTTCTTATTGTTGATGCCACTTAAACACTTGTGTTTTGTGTGAGGTAGCCTTGGTGGTGAGTTGAGAAGCTTTTTCTGAATTTTACTTACTGTTGGTTGGGAGTGTTTGGAGGTTGTGTTGCTGAGTTGTGAGGGAGAGACCTTGTCATGGCATTTTGTGGTGCCAAGAAGTGATCTTTTGGCTTAAAGGACCAAGCTTGGTGTACCATTTTCGTGTCTTGCTTTAGTCTGAACTTTGGTGCTGTGTAGAGGACCTCCCTACTGTCCCATTTTCGGAGTTGTGAGCCTTTGAGGTATACCATGATCACCTCTTTGTCATTTTGAAGTTTAAATCTTGTTTAATCTATTAAAAAGAGGAACTTTAACCATTTTAGTAAAAGAATGTGTTTTTGGGTTCATAACATGTTGGTGATTCATTGGACTCTCAATCACATTTGGACCCTTGAATTTGGGATTATGCAGAAGTTGGCTCGAATTTCTGCATTCTGTTGAAGAAGTATTCGAATACTTTTCGTGTAGTATTTGAATACTTGTTCATCAGGTAGTCTCGAATACTCATTGCAGGAGTATTGGAATACTTTTCTGGGAAGAGAAGTATTCAGATACCTTTGAAGAAATATTCGAATACTGGAAAGTATTCGAATACAGTAAGGTTTGGTATTCGGATACTGAGGTATTCGGATACTGAGGGGAAAGGTATTCGGATACTTGTGAGTATTCGAATACTTTAATGGAAGTAATCGAATACTTTCTGGAGACAGGGAGTATTAGAATACTCACAAGTATCCGAATACTTTAAAATATGAGTATTCGAATACCTCCTGCAGAAAATGCATAAAATGACTTATAATGAGATGGAAAGCCTTAATCACTTAATGTAACCTTGATAGATAGTTATTGATGATTACTTACTGTATAAACATATTGTGATTGTACGGTTTGCGGGCTTTGAGTTAGTGAACTCTTGGCTTGGATAGTTAGCTTGCAAGGTAAGCTTTCGTGTCCTCGGTTTAGCCATGTTGTGGTTCCACCATGTCCCATAGGGGTATGGTATATGCATGTTGTGTTACATGCTTTTGATGTTTTGAAAATGCTGTTGAGCTGTTATATGCTAGTGTCTTTAAGATATGCATGTGGTGTTCCACTTATACGGTAAGCCTGAGTACGTGGTACATACAATATGGTGAGGTTGTGGGTGAGGTACAAGCGATGTTTGTAACACCCCGTATATATCCGGCAATGTTATCATAATATCGTATTAAGCTGCGCTTAATTAAAAATGCGGAATTACTTTTTCTTTTCAATTATGATGCCATTAACATTACCAGCTTGCTTAATAATCAATTAATAAAACATCACCTGTATGTAATTGCAATAAAAAGCTAACTGAAATATCTCATAACATAGATAATAAAAGTGTGGCTC